AATAATAATAAAATTAATTAATTAATTTTAAAAAATGAGTCGTCTTGATTAAGGTGTATCCTCCATGGCAGGCAATATCTGTCTCCCCCTTAATTGATACTGTTGTCCCCCCAAATTGTGGTGTGAACAGTATTAACCTTTATTGTGATTTCAGGAAATATATCCTTCTTAAATAATAAATTTTTTTTTTTTTTGCAGTACGCGGGCCTCTCACTGTTGCGGCCTCTCCCGTTGCAGAGCACAGGCTCCGGACGCGCAGGCCCAGCGGCCATGGCTCACGGGCCCAGCCGCTCCGCGGCATGCGGGATCCTCCCGGACCGGGACACGAACCCGCGTCCCCTGCATCGGCAGGCGGACTCTCAACCACCGCGCCACCAGGGAAGCCCCCTTCTTAAATAATAAATTTTTAAAAGCAGCAAAGTGCTACCTCTGTAATTTACTTGTAAGAAAAGGAGTAAGGATTACTCCTTTTAGATTAGAGTATTAGATTCCAGCCTGTTGCTCAGTAGCTGGCTTCACCTGCCTGGTACCTTCTCTTTGATTAATTCCCAAGGGGTGTCACCAGCTCTAGGAAATGAAGCTTTCCGGAAGCCCCTTGGTTCAGGTTCCAGTGACCTGCCCTGCTAATGTCTTCAGTTACGTGACCTCTTCCTTAAAGGAAGCATCTACATCTTTCTGGGAAATTGGTAGAATTTAGTTTTTCTCTTCTCTCCACATAGAATTCAAGTAAAGATGAAAAGCAAGGTAAACTTTTAAACTTTGCTCACCAGATATCTTGGTCTAATCAGGAGAACTTTAAATGATTTTTAAAACATTTTTTATTATCAATTTAATCAATGTGAAAATGCAAAATGATATAAATGTATAACTTGGAAAATTTCTGGTGCCATCCAATCTCTAACGGATAATCCCTGTTAATATAGCATATATTACTCCAACATTTTTCCATACTAAATATATACATATTAGCACATAGTTACACAAATGTAAGTAAGATCATAGCATATTGTTTTATAAATTTATTTTTTAACTGAATAACATGTCATAGACATCTTCCCTTGTCTGCACGAAGTTCATTCTTGTTCATGGCTGCCTGGCATCCGTTTTACATGTAAAATCTGATTTATTGCACCAGCCCCCTTGAGTAGAACATTAGAGACAGGTCTGACTATTGGCCTAGCCACTAAGTTTCTCTGGACTTGTTCTGGAATGATTTTAGCATGAGGTGCAGGAGTGGTTACTCATTAATTCAACTTTTTAAACAGTTGACAAACAGTTTGCCTTTAAACTCTTGGAACTGTTCATGTTCCATCTTTGCCATAGACCACTTATTCCTACTTCTATGTGTCAGGACGAAGAGGAACTCTTTGTTCCTAAAACCTAGTTAAGTGCCTGATTAATTTGTCAGATTAGGAAGAGGGTTTTCTAGTCAAAAGAAAATACAGGGGCTTCCCTGGTGGCGCAGTGGTTGAGAGTCCGCCTGCCGATGCAGGGGACACGGGTTCGTGCCCCGGTCCGGGAAGATCCCACATGCCGCGGAGCGGCTGGGCCCGTGGGCCATGGCTGCTGAGCCTGCGCATCCGGAGACTCTGCTCCGCAGCAGGAGAGGCCACAGCAGTGAGAGGCCCGCGTACCGCAAAAAAAAAAAAAAGAAAAGAAAATACAGAAGCTAAGGAGGTCCAGTTGGCCAGCTTCCAGCTGTGTCCGCATCTGAGAAACTCGGGCATGTTATTTTTGTTTTTCAGTTTTGCTGTTTCTTGGGACAAAATAACTGAAAGGCTCAAAATGGAGGCCCCTAAGGCTATTAAAAGGGCTGCTACTCTCCCAGGAGACTAGTCTGTCAGTAACCTTGACTAACATGGTTAACACAGGATGTACATGTAATACAAATAGTTGATGATCCAGATTTGTCATTAGTTCTAAATATGGTTTTCCAAATCTTACGGTAATCATAATCCCAGCTGCTCATATGTGAGGTCAGGGAAATCAGAAAATATAGGTAAATAGATGATAGATCAGTAGTCACCAAGTAGAGTAGAAAAACTGTGGGTTTTGAGTCAGACAGAACTGCATGCAGATCCCACCTTTGCCATTTCCTAGCTACATGGGCATGTTGCTGACTCCTGTAAAAAAAATAAAAGAGAAGGATTTTAAAATACATAATAAATAGATAATAAAGCAATGGGTACATAAAACCTTGAGTAAATTGCAGTTCTCTTTGCTATGTGTGTATAAGCTTTTAGATGTGCCTAATTTTTCAAACCACCCAAGCAGCAACATTTCTATCAGATCGGCTCGCCTTCTTGCTGCTATAATTAGTCATTCACTTATTCATTCAACAAACGTTTATTGGCCAATCACTATGTGTCAGGCATTGTGCTGGGTACAGGAAACACCGAGATGAAGAAAGCACCTAACTCCTGCCCTCCAAGAGCTGACCTGGAACTTGACCTCTGTTTTCTGCCTGAGAGAGAGAGAGAAAAAGCAAATGCAGCAAAATGTTAATAATTGGTGAATTTAGGAGAGGGTATATAGATGTTAATTGTACTTGGCTTTCAATCTTTCTGTGAGTTTAACTTTTTAAAATAGGGTTGGGGAGAAAATATTTTTCTGTTACGTGGCAGCTGTAATTTTTTATTTTTATTTTTTGGCTGTGACGGTTCTTAGCTGCGGCATGCGGGATCTTCATTGCGACATTCAGGATCTTTCGTTGAGGCGCACAGGCTTCTCTCTAGTTGTGCTGTGCAGGCTCAGCAGTTGTGGCACACAGGCTGTCTAGTTGTGACGTGTGGGCTCCAGAGTGAGCGGGCTCAGTAGTTTGTGGCGCGCAGGCTTAGTTGCCTCGTGGCATATGGGATCTTAGTTCCCCGACCAGGGATTGAATCTGTGTCCCCTGCATTGCAAGGCAGATTCTTAACCATTGGACCACCAGGGAAGTCCCAGCAGCTATAACTCTTGAAAGCCTTTATTACCTCCCAGTTTTTCAGCATGGAACCTATCAGATTATCTCCAGCCACTTAGCCAAGCCTTAGGAGAGGGATGGTAGAGGACAATGAGAAAAGTCTGGAAAAGTAACAGGCGTGGTTACCTGGAGCCACACAGCAGGGGCCCAGGGGCAACTGGGCACCCAAAGAGTGAGAGGCTAAACAGGAAATAGAGGTGGAAACAAAGGCATGGGCTCCAGCTTGAATCCTGCCCTATTCACTATCCAGTCTCCAGCCGGCCCTGACCTTTTTCTGTGTGGGGAGGGTGGAGATGGAGGGGATTTGTCACATTCTGTACCCTTAACTGCCAACCGCTGACCTTTGACTTGAGCATAGAGGTTAAATATCTCACCTTTGGAGTCAGCAGCCCTTGTGTGAATCTCAGCCTTGCAGGGTCAACTTGGACAAGCTACTTAATCCTGTTGACACTGAAGTTTCTCATATCCTTGATGGAATTGTAGTGGGTTGTGTGACACTTTAATGACGTGGCGTGTGTAAAGCAGTTAGCGCAGGGCCTGTGCATGGTACCTACTTAATAAAATATTTCGTGACATATATTATCTTAGCCAGTGGCTCTACTCTTCACCTACACACTCATGCAGAAATCTCGGCTTGATGCCTCTTTGCCTCGCCCACTGCCACGGCTAGTTATCAGCATGTTCTGTCCTCTTTACTTTACTTCCAAATGCATCCTAAATCAGACCACCTTTCACTGCCTCCAAGGCTATGTCTCCATCTCCTATCTAGTCTCTGCGGCAGCCACCTGACTGTTCTTCCTGCCTCCACTCTGGCCCCCTCACCCCCAGATGCTCTCCACAGCAGACTTTCTCAAGCTTAATGGAGAATGTCACCTTCCCACCTAAGCCTTCCTATGGCTTCCCATCACCCTTGAGTAAAACCCACCCCTGACTCTCACGTCATGACCCAAGTCCTGCCTAGCTCTCCAGCCTTGTCTCCTGAACTCGCCCCATGGCTCCCTGCATCCTGCATTCTGGCCTTCTTTCTGTCCCTCAGACATACCAGTTCACTCTCACCTCAGTCTCTGTAGTTGTTCCCTCTGCCTGAAACGTGTGTCTTCGTGTGGCTACCTCCTCGTCCTCCCTGTCGTTTGGGTCCCAGTTCATTTCCTCAGTGAGGTCCTCTCTGACCATCCTATCTCATGTTGTGTACCACCTCCATCCCCACCCACCACTAGTACCCTATTTTAGTATCTTTAAAGCACTTGTTATCTAAAATGATCTCATGTGTTTATTTAACCCTTGTGTGTCTCCCTTATACAATGGAAGCTCTAGGGAATAGTGAATAGTAACCTTGTGTTTTGTTCACTGTCCTAGCTTGGGCTGCCATAACAAAATACCACAGACTGGGGGCCTTAAGCAACAGAAATTTATTTTCACACAGTTTGGAGGCTGGAAAGTCCAAGATCAAGGTTCTGGCAGGGTTTGGTTTCCGAGGAGAACTCTCTTCCTGGTTTGTAGACAGCTGCTTTCTCACTGTGACCTCCAATGGTCCTTTCTCCGTATGAGCCTATGGAGAGAGAATGAGAGAGAGAGAGACTTTTCTTATGAAGACACCAATCCAGGGGACTTCCCTGGCTGTCCAGTGGTTAAGACTCCACGCTTCCAATGAAGGGGACTCAGGTTCAATTCCCTGGTCGGGGAACTAAGATCCCACATGCCATTCGGCACAGCAGGAAAAAAAAAAAGACATCCAACTGGAGCAGGGCCCCACCCTTATGACCTCATTTAACCCTAATTACTTCCTTAGAGACCCCATCTCCAAATACAGCCACACTGGGGGGTTAGGGCTTCAACATAGAAATTGGGGTCGGGGGGACGGATACAAACATTCAGTCCATGACATTCACCATTGTAGCATCAGCATTGGAACCTAGAAGAGAGCCTGGCATGTAACAGGCACTCAATGAATGCATGCTAAATAAATGAATGTGTTATACAAGTTCACTTCACTGTGAGTCCATATGAGTGGCGCCAAGTCTAGCACTCCATCCCGCAGGTCAGGGCGTGTCCCTGTACATTCCCCAGGCAGCCATCAATGCCACTGTGGAAGAGGACATCCTGCTCTCGGTTGCATACTCCTGCCACGGCATCCCCACTATCGAATGGAAGTATACGTCCAGCTGGGGAGTGCAGAAAATCGTGGAGTGGAAGCCAGGGACTCAGGCCAACATCTCCCAAAGCCACAAGGACAGGGTCTGCACCTTCGACAACGGCTCCATCCAGCTTTTCAGTGTGGGTGTGAGGGATTCCGGCTACTACGTCATCACGGTGACCGAGCGCCTGGGGAGCAGTCAGTTTGGCACCATCGTGCTGCACGTGTCAGGTAAGACACCCCCAGGGGCCCCAGCGCCTCTCAGAACTGTGAGTGTGCGGAGGCCGACTTCACGATATTAAAAGAGACGTTATCTCCCCCTCCCCTCCCCCCGCCCCGTAGAGATCCTCTATGAAGACCTCCACTTTGTCGCTGTCTTCCTTGCTCTTCTCGCTACCGTGGCTGCAGTGTTAATCAGCCTCATGTGGGTTTGTAATAAGTGCGCGTATAAATTCCAGAGGAAGAGAAGACACAAGCTCAAAGGTAATTCTCTGGGCCTTGTGATAATCGATTCATGGCTTGGATGGCCAAAGGTGGCCCTTGTCATCTTGTTCTCACCAAGAAACCACCCCCAGCCAATTGGCAACTCACGGATGTGTCTTTTGCTTTGCAGAAAGCACAACAGAGGAGATCGAGCTGCAAGATGTGGAGTGTTAGCCAAGGCTGGGCCCAGTTACATCCCTACCTCAAGAGGAAAACGTTATCTCCCAACGAAAGGAGCAAACACGGCCAGTCCACCCCGAGCCTCTTGTGCCACACACTGGTTCCTGATGGGACAGCTGGATGTTGGCAAGGTTGACTGCCTGAGCTGGACTCTGGATTGGACGAAGGCAGTTCCAGTGGCATGGAGTTCAAAGAGGGGAGGGGTGGAGGCTCTGAGCCAGAGCTGTGCTTGGCTGCGGCTCCCGGACCATGTGGACGCATCAGCAGTGGCCCCGTGCAGGCCCTGGCTGCTTCCTCACTACGCTCTGCTCTGGCCGGGGGATGGCCATTGGAGGGGTCCACGTACCAGAGGCCAGAGGATTTCCGGGTCACGTGTGCAGCCAGCACCAGAGCAGGCTCTCTGTGCTCCGGTCTCTTCCGCCTGTGGCCTCCTCCAGCCCGCTGCCGTGGGAGCTATTGTGAGAGCTGAGGCGTTAGAGCACCTGCTCAGAGCAGGGGAAGGCCCCCCGCCCCCTCCGTGGCCTGGAGCTTTAGGGAGAAGAGCTTAATTTGTTCCACAGGGACCAGCATTGGGAACGAGGAATAGGGAGAAAATTCTCTTTCTCGTTCGCTCTTACTCCAATGTTAATTAGAATTTCCCCTTCTACGGCCCCAGTGTAGGCCAGTGTGAGGAACAGTTCATCCCCACCATGGGCAGAGTCTGGCTTCCAAATGGCCCCCTGACAAGCTGGGTGACACTGCCCGTGTGAAGGCTGGGCCTGCACGGTGGGAGGGACAACTGGAAAGTCAGCGCGGGCTTCGAATCTGTCCCCCTCAGCCACTCACACTTCCTGTCAAGTCAGAGCCTTGCTTGCTGCCCGCTGGGCTGAGGAACACTTGACCCTCACCTACCTCACCCTCAGCGTATCAAGTGAGGCCCACAGTAGCACAGAGCACTCCGAGCAATGGAAGGAAAGCATGAGGAATCTTCCAGAGCCTAGAAAGCAACAAGCACTAATAAGTCCTGGAAACTGTAAAATACCCTGGGGTATTGGGGCTCCAGGTGAAAGTGGGGACTGGATCACAGCCGGCCTTGGCCGTTATTCTCTGAAGTTGTTGGCCACTGCGTTTGCCTGAGTTTCTCCGTCCCAGCTTCCTTTCGGCAAGCTCTAAAGCAGGCATGAATTTATCTTCCATTCTCTTTTCCCTCTCCAACATTCTTAGCTACAGATCAAAGGCACCATCCCGATTATTGGTGGAATTTGAGCTTAGTAGCTGTGTCCCTAGCCCTCAGCTGCAAATTTACCCACAAATACATGAAGGAGAGCTAGAACATTCTCTTCTCCCTCTCTTCAAGTCCCCAATGTCCACATCTTTTCCAGAAGTTACCTGGAGACGTTAGTATGAGGCTTTTTTCCCTGAATACTGAATCCCGGGTTACAGGAAGGGATCTTTTGGGGTTATCAGTGATCTAGAGCAGAGCCCCAAAGGCACTACTTGACTCAGAAGGTGAGAGAGCCAGTTGATCTACACGACTGATTTGTAGCCTAAGTATGTGACACACAGAAGGGTCTCACCTCAGGCCACCTCCTGGACACATGTGTAAACACACACACCTGCACCCTGTTCCCTGGACAGCAATCAGAGGAACCAGACCTATGCCACAAAGGATGGGTTTCTTATACTGGTCTCCAGGGCCGCGAAGAAGCAGGATAGGTGCCAGAGAGGGTCAAGGATAATCTGATCATTTCTTCGTCCTTTTGCACACAGCACACACCCATCAGCAGG